TCATTCATGAAGGTTTTCTTTGCACGTTATGCATATTTTTCCCTGCATTTTCTGGCACTCCTGTTACAAATTGTTGCGTATCAGAAAAAAAACTGAACAAAATGCTCATGTGTGAATGGAGGCTAATTCCCACAGAAAAGTGACTGCACAGAAGAATTTCCTGTGTTATCAATGGGCCATGTTTTTTTACATCAGAAATGTTTTAGATCACTGAAATGCATGTTTTCACTTTAGTACACTTGCAGTCTTTCCTAATCGGCATGCTTCTGATTACCACAGACTTTTAAATCAAGTTTACAAACCATTTAGCCCAATTATATATTCATTAAAAAATCATTAAATGTAATTAAAAATATTTCATGTATAACTGCCTGAAATCTTTCTTTTCGTTATTTCCACACATTCTTATAAACAGCAGAAATCAGACACATATGCTCATAGACATTAGGTGGCAGTCTCTGGCTGCAACGTCTGGAGCTGCTCGCTGATGATGCTATTGATTTGAAATGATCATTTTCCCCCTGATAAACCAGAGCTTGATCTGTGTGCCACGTGCCTCCACTGGATGACTGTTGGTGTTTAGGGAGGTGCTGACTGGCACAGATCTCTTTAAAATTCTGTCCGCATGTCTGATCAAGCTCATGGGCAGCTATGCTATGTCTATGGGCAGCTTAAAAGGGAAATGTACCATGTAAATCAATCATACTCTATTGCACTTTAGAGTGTTGCCAGTCTTATATGTTTTCAGGCACTGGAAGCTGGCTGGGGGGAGCATGGGGAATACCTAGGCATTGTGATTATGTTCATTTGTCTAGTGAGGATGGTGACTATGATTCTCTTTCTATGGCTATGGAAATTCTTGTGCATTATAATGTCGGGAAGAATTTTAATGAAGATACCTATTGAATGCTATACATTTACCCAGAAGGGAATCAGACATTTGAAAAACACATAGGGGGTTATTCACAAAGCTGCCGAAGGCAGCCAAGTGAATAACCGAGCCATAGTGAAGTGAGCCGAACAACGTTTGTCTATTGACTGCAGCTCAGTACGGCTGATTTCAGCCGTACATCGGCTCCCTTCAGCGGCACTTCAGTCAGCTGAACATGCTCTGCAATGTATAGACCCCTTAGTATACTCAACTTCCTCACTTCCCCAAACATTCAGGCCTTGTGGCATGCGTGACCCCTCTGACCATTGTTGCCATGCTATGTGCAAAATATGAAAACATCTCTTTGGAAATAATTGCTAATTCAAAGGCCCCTGTAGGCAGCATAAAACAAGATAGGCAATGACAGCTATTTACAAAATGTATTTTATTGTCCTGCCTTAAAGCTGACCCTCCATGCAATTGCCAGCCACCACCACCACCTCACAAAATAAGCTGCAAATATAAGTTATTCCACCATGCCTCATGCAGCAATGCTGGGCACTCAAATTTCCATGAAACTACACTCCTGCAATGAACTGGGTGTAATTTTAGGTGGCAAGGGACTGGCAGGAAAGTGACCTTTGATATTTATCAAAGGTTTGCTGTAAAAGGACCTGAGCTGTGCTCAAAATAGGCAAGGGCAAATAACTAGTATTCCCTATAGACTTTCTGCAGCTAATCTTTTCCCCATTACAGACTTACCATGCCTTGTTCTACACTTTCTCTCTGTGTGGAGGCAGACATCTTGGTAGAGACAGGGCTTTGCTACCTCATGTCAGAGTTGGCCCCTTAATGGCTGGTGATCTGAAGGCAGGTGGAGGAATATTCTAGAAGCATGAGGAAAGTTGAGGAAAGCACCGATGCACAGAATTAATGGACTAGGATCAGAAAATTCTTGCACTATGGGTCCTCAGTTACAGCTTCCTCTCCAGCAAGGAGAACAGCAAGCAGCATGCTAGTGATATAACCAAATGTCAAATCTCAATCCAAATCTCTTGAGTCTAACAGAGGTAGCAATGCTTTGGATGATCTCACACAGGAGATATACCGCAATTAATCTCAAGGCAAAAGTCAAGACAAAAGGTTTATCTTTCAGGGTACAGCTAAGGCTCAATTAACATTTGTTGATGTTCCCTATGAGATAGAAAATCTTTACTTTTTGTGTTAGGTCCACTTTAATATATCATGTCTGTCCCAAAAATTATTTTTTTACCTAAACTGGTTGTGGGGACTGGTAGTGTTCTGCAAATTCTTTACCTATATTAGCAGTCTTTACCTGTATAGTTTTTGTTTGTTTCTTTCAGATAACCACATTCATTATCAGTGTTGTATTATATTACTGAGTGTTATTTTACAGTTCATATCCAGTATTGCCGATCCTGACCTCTTGTGTGCTAAATTGTTCCTGTCATCTTTTCTCCTGCGCAAGAAGCAAATTATTCTACTGGGACATGGTTTTATTTTCCTTTGATACTCTCCATTTGTAATTTTTATGTATTTATCTGTTGCTCCCTGGCACCTTGGTGATACATATATTGGATGTAATTTGTAAGTAGTGTTGTAACTCCATAAATCATGTTACAGTTATTGAGAACTGTGAATGCTGGCAGAAAAAAAAACACTTTATTGCCACCAATGCAAAATGTAGATTAAAACAAATCCTGTTTTTGCAGCATGGACAGAGTGTCCTTATAATGGTGCTGATTGTGCAGTGTGCAAACATTTCAGATTTGCAGGTGAAGTCATCCCAAAAAAAAGGTTAAAACCAATGAAAGAAAACTCCAGGCAATAAATAGAACTCTGTATATATGGTATAAGAAGCAGAAAACCCTTTAAAGTACAGTATATCTACAGCAAAAACTTTTATTTTAGTTGTGGATTGAGTGGTAAGGAATTAGGTCCTCCAATTAGATTTATATCGCTGCCTGGGTCCCCATTAGAGAGGTATACTCTCTCTATGTGTACTGGTGATCATCATCACCAGAAATGAAAGTGAGGGAGAAACCAAAATTCGAAGTTGTCACAAGAACAGTGTTAGGGAGAAAATGTTCCAATGTGAACACTTGTTTCAGTGACAGGGGATTTCCCTCACACGGAAGAGATTGCTGCTCACTTCTTTTTGGCTCTACAGGACAGAAAGTGAAATCTCCCCAAATGGCAAATGTTTTTGAAATTCCCTACTCTCCCTTAAATAAAAAAAAAACATGTTTTGGCATTAGCTATACCTTAATTTCAATGTCTGCTGTTTAAAATGGGGTTAAAATGGCTATAAACTTTAATAGAAAAAATACCTTTAGAAATACAGCCTGTCACAACCAGTGTTCTGCTTATAGACTTCTAACTGGCCATAACACACAATGCAGATGCTGATAGGAAACAGATTTGTTTCTTTTGACCTTTAGTACTACTGCAGTTTCCAATTTGAAAATAAATAACAGGAGCACATAACCTGACTGTTTACTGATTAGTGTTTCTGGGTTTGTTTTCATCTTAGTTGTGTTTATTTATCTTAGTTTTTTGTTTCTTTTTGTTTTTTAATCAGCTTGTTTTTGCTTGAATCTTTAAACGTAAGGGCAGATATGTATAGCAGGCACCTACATTTATGGTCATGCATTTAGCAGAGCAACTCTTAGGCCCCATTCACACCTGACCGTTTTGTAGCGCGTCCTACGCTCGATGAACGCTCTACAAAACGGTCAAAAAAATAAATAGCATTGTAGTCAATGGTATCGTTCCCACCTGTCCGTATTTCCACCCGTCCCGAACGCACTACAAAACGGCCCACGCATGAAAAGGTCCCGGAGCGTTTTTGCTGCGTATTGGTCCGTTTTGTAGGGCGTTTTCCATTTGGATACTGCCAAGTAGCCTTTGGAATCGCGCGACGGTCGCGCGACTTTTTTACCGCGAATCGCGGTAAAAAAACCGCGTGACGGTCGCGCGACAGACGCGCATATTACAATACGCATAGGTGTGAATGGGGCCTTAAGGTTTAAATAGGAACTGGCTTCTTTGTCTCTTTATTAGTCTATCCTCATGATGCACTGCTTCACTGACACAGGTTGGCCCACATTTAATTTAATCTGTATCTAAACCTATGAATAAAATTGTATTATTTTGCAGCTTACCAATTGTTAGATGTTCTGGCAATGTTAGTTTCTCTTTTTTTATAGTTTCTTCTTCTTTATTTTTACCTGGTGATCCTGCTAGTAACACCCTTCCTGTCAAAGGGAGGCCATCGCTCACTCACCGCATCTTACCATATCTTTAGAGGATCAGCATTGTCACTGATGGAACTGTAGCCCATTTATATAGTGGTCGCTGTCCGAATACAATGCAAAACAGCGGGGGATTCCTCCATCCATGCTCATAAGCGTTAACAGAGAAACCTGTTATATTTTCTTTGTTCAGCCCACAAGTTAAACAGAGAAAATATAACCACGTATACCCAGCTTAAGCAATGCCTCTCTGGACAACCTCATAGTGCATCCTTCCCTGCACAAATCACCCATGGTCACAGTGCATCCGACTCCCAACATCGCACCCACTGGCTAGATTACAATCCTTGCTGGCTAACAACAACCATGACCTTCTTCCCTTCCATTATAACCACTCTTCCACTTCCACTGCGAACAGCTTTCTGCTCCTTAAATTAATTGTATAGCCAAAAGTTTTTATTTTTTAGCTTTGGAAAGAGTAGGGAGGGATTAGAAACCCTGTCAAGTTTTTATTGTTGTCCGTGTTCCAGCTGGGAGAGTGCACCCTCTCTAATTATCCTGGTGACCATATTCATGGGGGGTAAAAAGTTAATTTTCTCTTCCTTCCTGTTGCATCTCTAGGATAGGAAGCAAAGGGAAATCTCCTCCATAAGACACGCACATCAAAAAATGCATTTACTCTGATTGGGGTTCAACCCTTCCCTACTCTATTCAATCCTTAAAAGTAAAGCTTGGGCTTTACATACCATTGAAAGTGTATTTTCTGCTGCTCTGTACCCCCCACCTGCACAATGCACTCATTTCAATCAACCCCAGTCTGGAACTGACACGCTTTTATCTTTTATGTTTTGTAGGCAGCAGTTGAAGAACGCCTTAAACATCTTCATGAAGCACACCAAGATTTTGGACCTTCCTCTCAACACTTTCTGTCTAGTAAGTCTGAAAAATTATCGAGTCATTCATTACTTATTCTAAATTTTAAAGCCTTGCATTACTAATGGATGTTTGAGTCAGTGGCAAACTTTGAAATATTTAGGGGTGAGCAAACTGATCTAATCCGGTTATTTAAATATGTGTTTTACTTCACTTATAGATATATTCAATCTAAAAAACCAATACCGGCGCCTCTGGTTGCAAGCTGGGCTGGTTGTGAAGTTGGCTTAAACACTCAAAAGGCAGCTCTCACTGGTCAAAAAGACCATCGATCTAGGAAACAAGGGACAAGACAGAGCGCCTCCATAGTGTAAAAGTGTAATTTATTTGTACAACACGCAAATAAAAATGTACTTACAGGAAAGTCGGTGGTTAAAAGCATACAAATGGTGATGAAGTATAAAATCTCTAGCAGCGGAAGTCTGAAGGAGTACAGCACATCAGCGTCCTCTGCCCCCCTTGAGTTCTAAAGGTCTACGCATTTCAGGGGCACGCCCCCTGTCATCTGCCTTGACAATCCTTGCAGGATTTAATTCAACCTAACGTTGGTCACCTTGTGTTGTTTGAGTCCTATGTGTCATAGCTGCTTGGCAATCTGCCTCCCATGCTTGCCGAGAGCCTCATAACTATAAAATTGCAAACAACTCATAATTCTGCTGGTTACTAGTCTATAGTCTTTCACAATTTAGTTTATCAGTGCAGCCTTTTTTTTCCCAAAAGGAGGAAATAGTCGAGGAAGTTGGAAAGGGAAGTGGAGAAGGGCAACAGTTAAAGCTAGAATATAATGCCGGCTCGGCTATTCTGCTCAGACATAGCGACCAGAATAGAAAAAGTGTAAACAAATGAGAAAAATGTTTTTTTTTATATTTTTAAAATAAATGTAAAAAAAAGAAAAAGTAAAAAAAAGTTAAGAAAATAATAAAAAAGATTTTAAAGAAAACAAAACAGCATGGGGTCCGCCTCCCAAAACATACCAGACCCTTCAGGTCTGGTAGGAAAGTTAGAAGGGACCCTATTTTAAACAAAAGCGTGGGGTTCCCCCCAAAAGTCCTACCAGGGCCTTAAAGTCTGGTAGGAATTTCAAGGAGGAACTCCACCCCCACCCCCACCCCCTGGAAAAGCACTCTTTCCCTGTGCCGATGGGGACAAGGGCATCTTCCCCACAAACCCTGGGGCGTTGGTTGTGGGGGTGCGTGCAGGGGGCTTATTCGTATCAGGGTACACCTTGTGAATGAGTAAGGGCTACTTGTATCCATACCCATTCACTAAACGGTTAAATAAAATATTAAATAAAAACACCAGACTTTAATCACAATGCTTTAATTGAAATAAAAAGACAAAGGATTTTTGACACGCCCTTTAGTATAAAAAAATTGATCCACTGACATAATCTTAAGGCCAATCACTATGTCCAGCTTTATCCTCGACGACTCGGCATAAAAAAGATGCCACCGGACCGCACGTGACGAACTCTTGCCGCAGAATGACATTCTGACAGAGGCCAGCAAAATATAAACAATTGGGCGAACTTAGTGGTGACATGACCTCTAGCTTCGCCCAATTGTTTACATTTGTCCGGCACCTGACAGTCTTCCCGCTGGTCCCGGGTGGATCAAAACAAATGGGCGAAGCCAGTCGTGATACGGCTGGCTCCGCCCAGTTGTCATTCAATGACAGTCCAGTGTCCTCGAGGGCGTGGGGCTGTCATTGAAGGACAACAACTGGATGGAGCGAGCCGTGAGATCACAGCTGGCTCCGCCCAGCTGTCATTTGTGTGGAGAACGGTCAGCTTCGGCCAACCTTTCTCCACGCTTCGGCTGTCACTACGGCTCAGCCGAGCCGAAGCATATGCATTCAGCTCAGCTGAGCCACTCGGCTGCCTTCGGCTGCTGTTCAGGCTATTGTCTATAGCCCGAACAGTAGCCCTTTGTTTCGACTGAACCAAAGGGCTCTGGCGGCCGAAGCGAGTCAAAGGATCAGCCGAAGCTACGGCTGGATACTTTGGCTTTTTAGTGAATAACCCTCCGAGTGTCTGGAAATTGCAACTCTTGCTGATATGTACATCGTGTGACATAGAATACCTTTTTATGCAGGTAAAATTAGCTTTACATTTTCTAGAATTTTGTACCAAGGAAACATAATAATTGGGAATAGCGATTGTGTGGCGCTAAATACCCTGGTTTAACTAATATTAACTGCAAATCTATAGGAAATATATATATACACCTTAGCATATGCACTAAATGAATGTGATTGGTGTAACCGAAGACTGGATATATAACCATCCAGATATAAACTTACACAGTGTTTAATAGTGACTTTATATACAGTATAACCAGAAAAACAGAACTTCATAGAGTGATAAAAGTAATAAAGTCAATATAAATCCATAATCCGTCATCAAAAATCCAAAACGTGTAAAGTGCTTGTGCTTGATACCCCTCCTAGTGCCACACACGAAGCCCCCCGGGCAATGAGCACTGACCGCATATATATCGTTTTAAACTTTGTAGTAACCTGAAGTCGGTATTGGATCAAAAGGTCCCCAGCATTTTCTCCCATATGTTAAAGTTGATGTTTCACATGTAGTAAAAAAATCAAAAGGAACTCCTCATAGTGTAGTATATTCCAAAACGTTTATTAATAAAAACAAATAGAGACTCACATGTAAGTATAAAACCCGCCGGTATCCCACGAGCTCCCGTGCTCATTTCCACATTAGCTGTGACGTCAGACGCGTTTCGTCACTCAGGACGTTCTCAAGGGTATAGCAGGTCTATCCAGGTCACAGCAATGAATCAATTTATAGCATATCAAAAACTGCATTCTCCTATTGTGTAATAATTGTGTAGCTTTTTTTTAGAAATAGGAGCTAAAGAGTGTTTGGGGTTTTCCGACTCCCTATGTGAACTCCATATTGTAAAAAAATTGATGATCTGTGTACTTAGGGATGGATCTGGTCAGGACAAAGCCATAGGCTGTAGAGGAGAGATATCACTTTTTAATTTAGACAGCTATCTTGTCGAGATGGTTGTTGAACCAGTAAACAATGTGGTGTAGGAGTGGTAGAATTTTTGAAGTTGTATAGACTAGTGGTTCTCAACCTTTCTAGGGCTGGGACCCCTTGGTAACATTTGCCAGGTTGTGGTGACCCCCCAATGGTAAAATTTAGGAATGCACCAATACTAGTATCTGTGTGGGCTTTCAGGTGTCCAGTGTGGGCTCATGTGAGCTCAATGGGGCTCTCTCGCGGTCAATGGGTCTCTCTGGTGGCCAGTGGGGCTCTTTGGTGGTGAAGCCGGCATTTAACTCCCCTCACTCCCGCCCGCTCCCCTCTCTAGGATCCTCCGCAGCTGCCGGTGCTGCAGCGCCATCTAGCGGCAGAGAGCCGTGACAGGATCGAGAAGTGAGGGAACCCGGATTCAAGCAGTTAAGGATAGAATAGGGATGCTAATGTGTGGCTGGGTAGAGTATATAAGTGGATAATTTGTAAAAAGTGAGAGTTTGTACTTACAATGTCCAGTATGTACTTTTCTTATCTATGCAGCTGTCATGTGCCTTGTTAGAGCATTTAATGCTTCTCAGGTGAAGATAAAATATTTTTTTATGAGCAAAGTACACTAGAAATATAAGTTTCGAAAATAGTGAGATTTAAAGCATTTTTGTAAATTAACTTAATGTGTTCATAAGATAATGATTGCAAAGTAAAAATATTGCTTAGTGAACTGACTACAAAGTGCCTTGGCCTTTAGACTGAAGGGTTCCTGAAACCGCATTATCTCCAGTAGTGGTAAGCATTTAATTCCTTCTTTACTCATTATTTATCCATTCAGCAAGATGGATATGCAGATTTATGCTAACATTTCATTAGGTCTGCTATAAAAAAAAAAAAAAAAACGTTATCAATGTGGTTACATAAAAAAGAAACTACCGTATATGTGTTGTTTTGTTTGATCTTGTATAATGTTTTATATTGAGCTAAGTAATGTCTGATGTATCTCTCTTTTTTTTTTTTTTTTCTTCTTCCAGCTTCAGTACAGCTTCCTTGGCAACGATCTGTGTCACTTAATAAAGTACCCTACTACATCAAGTAAGTGTTTTGTTTTTTTTATTCAGTTTTAATGTTTTAGTTATGTGTTCATTCTTGTTTGTTTAATTAAACAGACATGTCAAAAATGATCTTACTTTTTCTTGGAAAGACACCCATTTAATTATTCAATAAACTTTAACAAAAACAACTCCATTTAAAGCCCAATTGAACTCACAGCAAGATATTCAGTCATAAAGACATCGTAATATCAGCCTCCATTTGTAAAGTCTTACCTCCATGTTCCTGTTATTGCAATCGCGCATTGCACATAAAACGGTGGGCAATTCACTAGGAGAATGGTATTTTAAGTAATTTCCATGAGAAATTCAGTGTAAAATAATAATGTACAGCCATTCAGAAGTCAAAAGAGTTGATTTACCTTTGGTGTAGACCTCAGTGCATGATGAAAGCCTAGAGCCCCTCACATGTTATTTAGATGAGCACCTAATCATAGAGACAGGTTTGGATGCAAAACCTGTCAGAGGCTGCAGGCTGTCATGATGTAATTTGATCTTTAGTAAAGTTTATCACCTATGTGGCAGTGGATGAGTGGTACCCTAAAACTGGCACACTCACATTTAATCAATGCCCTTCTCAAGCTTGTTAAAGTAGATCTAAACACAATCACTAAAATCTCATATAAGCTTTACCATATTAATACAATTTCCAAAGCTGTCTTTTAAACTCTGCAGCTTTCATTAAAAAAATTAAAAAAAATACCTACCATGCAGGTCCTTGTTCAGGCACTTCCTGTTAGGGAGTGACAGCTGTCCCCAAACGGTGCCCCTGCACTGTCACATACTCTGCTGATAAAGACTAAAAATGACTGTGCAAACATACATTGCGGTAGCATGTTCTGCTGTTGTCACTATTAGGGAACCAGGTCTGAGCAGTGATTTGCTGGCGAGGCTGAAGTGCATGCATGTAGACAGAAAGTGTCTGTGGGAGACCGGAGATCAGCAGCACTGAAATGCAACAATGGATATAAAGAAGAGAAAAAATATTTATTGCAAAAAAAATAAAAAGTCAATGCAGTTGTTTATAATACACAAGGCATTGGCACACTAACACATATCCACTTTTTTTATTTCTGTCTGTGTAAAGATGCCCACACACCTTGCGATAATCGTACGATAATCGCGGGAAATCCCGTAATCTTACGATTATCGCAAGGTGTGTGGAAGGCGTGCGACCTCTGCTACTGTAAGGTCACACGACTTTTATCTTAGGAACATGTTCGAAAACTCGCCGAGAATCGTACGATATTGGCGGGTGTGTGGCATGTTCGTAAGATAAACGCAAGCCCACACTGCCCGTTCAGCATTGCGGTCATCGGAAGCCCGCCCCTCAGCGGGGCGGGCTTGTGATCATCGCAAGTACGATCTGCCTGTCCAAGATAGGCAGATCGTACATTTTTTTAATTACCTTACAACCATCGCAAGACAAAAGTCTTGCGATGGTTGTAAGGTGTGTGCCCAGCATTACTGTGAGTGAGATTCACCTGTGTCACCTATTCAGAAAGATGGAATGGGAAATCCCAATTATTTATAGTTCTCACTAGAACTAGAGGTGGAAGGAAATCTTTCAATGAGGACATATATTCCAGTGCCAGCTATCTGCTCGCTTACTGTTGTGTCTCCTAAACATGGAATGAAGAGACATCTCTCTTGTACAACACATAAAAAGTAAAAAAAACAATCTGAGAAGAGTTTAATCTGTCCAGCCAAATACAACACTAAAAAAATGTTTTGGCTTTAGATATATAGTTTAAACCAAAGAACTTTCTGAATTGTCCCACCAAAATCGAGACAATTGAGAAGTGTGTAAAGGAGTATCTGTGCCAGTGCTATTTATTCCGCATCTCTGCAGTATTATGGCCCAGTGTTTTCAGAGTGTAGCCCGCCCCTCAGCGGGGCGGGCTTGTGATCATCGCAAGTACGATCTGCCTGTCCAAGATAGGCAGATCGTACATTTTTTTAATTACCTTACAACCATCGCAAGACAAAAGTCTTGCGATGGTTGTAAGGTGTGTGCCCAGCATTACTGTGAGTGAGATTCACCTGTGTCACCTATTCAGAAAGATGGAATGGGAAATCCCAATTATTTATAGTTCTCACTAGAACTAGAGGTGGAAGGAAATCTTTCAATGAGGACATATATTCCAGTGCCAGCTATCTGCTCGCTTACTGTTGTGTCTCCTAAACATGGAATGAAGAGACATCTCTCTTGTACAACACATAAAAAGTAAAAAAAACAATCTGAGAAGAGTTTAATCTGTCCAGCCAAATACAACACTAAAAAAATGTTTTGGCTTTAGATATATAGTTTAAACCAAAGAACTTTCTGAATTGTCCCACCAAAATCGAGACAATTGAGAAGTGTGTAAAGGAGTATCTGTGCCAGTGCTATTTATTCCGCATCTCTGCAGTATTATGGCCCAGTGTTTTCAGAGTGTCAACAATGTAAATGTCAATTCAAATAACACTGTGTAATTTGAAAAAGTTCAAAGCAAAAGGTGAAGTGGTCCCTGTTGCTATGTAACTCATTTATAGGATTTCATTATGTGATTCTAATTTGGATGTAGTCCATGTGCTGTAAATTAAATGAAAGTCTCCATGACACAACTTTGATAACCAACTAGCTGTAATTGGACCTGAGAAATAAATGTGAAACTTTAGGCTGGCTGTCTAAAAACAATATGACTGTGTAGAGAAGTAAGTAGTGTCTTTGAATCCACAAGTAGTTCCAATGAAGATTGCAGCAAGAGTGTAAGCTCCAACTTACACTGTGGATACAGGTAAGAGCATAGTGTGTGAGCATGTAAACTGCAAGCATGTGTAGTTTTATGGTATATTTCAATACAGAAATTTGACCTAAGAGTAGACATGACAGCACTATGCAAATACTATATAAATATTTGCATATATTGCAATATAGAAACAATAGGCAAGCTGTCGCTCCATGATTTTAACTGAAGGACAGGTAGCCAGGTAGTTATACTGAAGGACAGATCTATGAGCACTAATATAAAAAAAAAAAAATTTGCCATGTGCAACTTGTAGAAATGTTATTATGAACCACTTAGAATAACTCCAATCAGTATAAAAATTAACCTTTGTTGTGGGGCTACCCCCACACTGCAAGGGTTTGGTCTAGGCTAGGGTCTATAATAAAAAAAGGTATACTCACTTGATCCTCAATCCTTCCTGGCTGCTATACTGGTCTCTGGGGGTCTAATGACCCATAAGTCATCATGTCCAATACAGTGTATTAGACGTCGGGGCACAGAGGAGGTGGGTGGTCGGTCTCTGCTGCAGGATAGAGGCTCAAGTGAGTATATCTTTTTTACTCAGTGTCCTAGGGTAGCCCCACTGCAAGGGTTAATTTTTGATCTGCCCAGAATTATTCTTTAAAGATAACTAAATTAGTTTAATACTGATTCAAACATATTTGATCAGATGTATGAACTATCCTTTCTTCTATCAGCAATTAGGAAAGTCAGTTCCTACTTATGTATGTATGTATATATGTATGTTATGGCAAGACAATGCCAACCATAACATCTCAGAAAAGGGGTTGGGGCTTTGAATTTTCTGACATATTTATGAGTTCTCATCTGACAATTCAGATGTGATAAGGAGGCTAACTGCTGCTAGATTGAGAGTCTGTAGCAGGAACCATGTAATGTATGAATAGTCCTAGAATGTATCACAAATGTCTATGTAGGCGTGGGCCCTTCACAGTGAAATTGCATTTGCAAGATCTAACAGTGAGTGACATGACAGAAAAGCTGGAAAACATAATTCAAAGTAAAATTTCTTATTTTGGATAGCTTTTTTGCTAGCTTGTTAAGCTTGTCATAGACTTAACTCAGGTTGAAGATATTACAAAATCTTTTTTTTCCCCTCAAACAATCACACACACATTTGTTGCTGATATTTTATAGACAACCTGACAATCTTGTCCAAAGCTGTCAAAATCAAGATCAGAGGACCAACATCTTCTTTCTTTTGGTGCCTTTAGGCTAAGGGCCTCCCAACAGATCCTCAAGTGATTAATTTTAGAATCGCAAGGCCTGCATACCTACATTGACTAATTTAATCACCTCAGGTGGCCCTATGAAGAGTTATAGTGTGGACAGTTTATTGTAAACTTTGGCAAAGGATTCTTTCCAGGTATAGCTGTAAGTGAAAGTGTCCCATAGCAAATAATTAAAGGGCAACCGTGCTTTTCATCCTTTTGTTTTAAAGGATACACACTCACTAGGAGAATTCAGGTAGTTCTCCTGAAAATGCCAGGTATCAGCACCAATACAGATACTGGTATCTGAACATCCCCAATATCTAGTTAGATTTTCTCTATGTAATTTCTTATCTTTCAACTTTTTTTTTACCCTTTGAATACCCCAGGATATAGCTCTGTTAAAATTACAAGTGTGCAAAATGTATGTAATGACTTAATTGATGTTTTTCCTGCCATAATGATGTAATATTTTTATACGGTTGTTCTATTGTCTTTTGGTATGTCCTATGTATTTTTACATGGGTATGGAATCATTTATAATACTTCTTTAGAGTCTTTAAAGAATGAATCCAGGAAACATTTGTATTAACCCTTGCAATGGTGCTACCCCAGCACTGCAAAGATTAACTGATCATTTTTGTCTAGGTTAAAAAAAAAAGCTGTACTGTGCTTGTTCTTAGACAGGTCCTTCCAGCCTTCTCCCCCTTTTCTCTGCAGTGCTCTAAGGTTCCGTAAATCATCATGTTCTATACACTGTGTAATGAGGACGCTGACAAACATTCCAATGCTGCGGCGTAGGAGGAGAGAGGCTGGAGGGAGCACTGTGACAACCTTGTTATTTTTGAGCTTAGACAAAAATGAGCACTTCACCCTTGCAGTGCGGAGTAGCCTCACTGCAAGGGTTACTAAAACATTTTCCTGGACCTCTTCTGTAATCTCAAAATTCTCTTTTGTTGTAATGAGTTGAAGTTTTCCCAATTGTTTCAGGTTTGTGACTAAAATAGATTTAAAGCCAGTAGCTCAGCATAATAAAGCTGGCCATACAATGCTTGATGCCCCCTCCCAGACAGCATGGATGGGTGGAATTCTCTCCATATCGGGCTATTGTATACTGACAGCAGTGTTTCCGCTGTCAGAATACCTGAAAAGTGACTGCAGTTTATTGGCTGCATTGCCTGTTCAGCCAAGAATTTTTAGGCCAGGTCCTTTGACAAATGCCGAGGGGAACACTGCTGCCGAGGGGAACACTGCTAGGATTTTGGAGTCAGCAGGACTCGGCCAAAATCTGATATTTCGGTTTACTTTGAAGACAATCTCAGTATTGTAATCTGTGCCATTCTAAAACCATAAACATTGAAGTATACAGGTGCTTTGATACCAGTCTTTTAAAGGTACCTGAGCTATATGCACAATTATATTTTCCAGGTGCTATTCTTGTCTGGTCACTTAGCAACATACAGTCTACTATGGCTGTAGTTACATAGAGAACATAAACTCGCCAACATAAACCATCTTTAAGTTTGATGGCTTTTTTTGTCCTTTGCAAACCACTGACTGAATTTCATTTGACCTTGTTAAAGGCAATGTTATTATTTGATATGAATCTCAGCTATGTAAGATATGTGTAGAAAGAACATGCTCAGGTTTTAGAGAGGAGGTGCACAGTGTCACAGTACAGTAACGTGCCTGTGTTCGGCAGATTTTGGATTAAAAGGAGAAACTGCACCAGCATTTTTTGTAAAGCATTATGCTTTTTGGTTAGAAGATTAGGAATATTATATATCTGGGTTTTTTTCCGTTAAACTCAAAACTGGGTCCCTGCTTCAGTCTAATCTTTTAAGTCATGCATAGTACCTTCCCCAGGTAAAGGTTAGTGCACTTCCTAGTTACTTACCGTAACACTAATAACTATTATTAGTTTGGTATATCTAAACCTGAAAAATTTAGTATATTGCAGGAGGGGGTCGCCAATTTATTGTAGTTTACCAGTCCATAGATGTGGTAGCTGCATTAGTTTAAATTGTATGCAAACCCTAAATTTGTTTGTTCGGCATCATGCCTCACTGTATACAGATTTCCTAAGCAAATAATGTTTTTGTAAATCTGTTTCAAAGTTTCTTATCTGGAGATCCTACAAGTAACAAGACTTGCAGGCTGACAATGTTAAGCCACTTCCTCACAATTAGCAGCAACATTGTCAGCCTGATACACAGAAATCTTTAGTTTGTTATTATACTGCCTATGAGGTCCACAGGTGTCTCCTGCAGACCTGATAGGTAGCCAAGTCTGCACAACAGGCAGAAAATACTGGTGCTAATTGGGAAGCAGTAGCTTAAAATCCTATTAAAGTCAAAAGGTCTTTAAGCAGTTTCAAATGCTTAATACTTAATTGCAATGGATGCTGCTCCTTGATATTTAAAAGTTTTAGTTTCCTGTAGAATCAGCTGGTCCCCTGAGCACTGCCCCTGATATCCTGTTCCCAGCTCCCTGCATTTAGGGGCGGGAGGGAGCATTGAAGTCAATGGCACTGCAGCCACGCCCCCCGCCCGCAGTGCGATCTGCAAAAATAGTGATTGCCGTATTTTTGCAGATCGCACTGGACTGGAACGCATGCACTAGGGTGCCTGCATTCCGGGTGCGGGCAATCGAACTGTGGGTGGGGGGCGTGGCTGTGGTGCCATTGACTTCAATGCACCGCCACGGCCACCCCCGCCCCTGAATGCTGGCCTTCTTGCGTTCCAATGCATTCCAGAGGCTGACCACTCTGGAACGCAGACTTTGTGGTGTGAACCGGCCCTTAGGGTGGCTTCTTTCCCTTGCAATGGTCTAACCTTTCTGGCAATCTACTTACCTTTCTGGCAGCCCATGCCTTGAAATGCCTCTGTGACACTGCTTCTCAGCTGCCAAAAGTATTTAAATGCCAGATGGATTGAATACCCGTTTCCTCCATCACATACGATGAGAATTAGACAGGCATATAGCATTATTCAGCACAGGCAGCCTTCATGTTTCACGCAGGAAAAGTTTACTTTGAAAGAAATATGTTGATCAGAAAATAAGTAGGCTGTCTTTGGTCATTTCTTTTGAAAATGCAAGTTGTCTGCCTTTCTCTGGCTCCCCTGCTCTCTGATGCATTAATCTAGAACAAGCATGCGATTAGTAAAGTCATAAATACGTTGGGCTTCCTGATCTTGGTCTAAGCCAGTTATTTTGGAGGTATGAAAGCCATTGGACCAAGATAACAGCCTAATAAGTAGCATTTTCTGAAGGAGAGGCAGCCTACATATTTTTTTTCAGTACAGGATTGCTTTAATGGGATTTTCCATTGTAAATAAAAGAGAATTCCTCCTTCAGGTGCCTTTGTAGAGTAACACAGAAGGGTTCCCTACCTTTCTTACATTCAGCTTTCTATCTTTTTTGTTTCCTTGGTCAACTAAATGATTGTATTTTAATGGACACACTTTTTGCCTTTCACTGATCCTACTTAATAGCTACACTCTGAGAGCTTTATTACATGGTGCTTGCATGCACAGTTATTTTTTCTGGAAAGTGCCCACTAACCTTAAAAACGAGGTACTGTAGGGAAAGAGCCACTCAAGTCTCTTCTCTGTGGATGTGGCAGATGTGTAATCTGTCCCTCCCTGCTACTCCCATCTCCTTATTGCCTGGAGCATGATGGACATCCTCACTGGCTAGTAGGAGGGAACGAACACTAATGGGGGCAGGCTACACAATGATTTAGATAAGTTCTCATTTCCCTGTTATTTTTGCAGATATAGGATCCACATAAATCCCATAACAGATCAGTAAATATGTACTGGTAGGACATATCTGGTTTGCATTATGAAGGTTTATAAGGAAGCCTTGAACAACTTCAAGTTTCCAGAAACAATAAAAGTTCCCATGTGGCTAAATAAATAACCTGGACCAACTTTGTAAAGGAAATTAGCAAACAGGGTAGGTACATTGACATATTGTGACATGTAGTATATACCTGTGGAAGTAACACTCTGTTCTCAGGCTTATTATTGTTAATGGAAAAAACATATTTTTTCTGCTGCCATTGTATATTTGGTTGGGACCCAAAGACAAACAACTACTTTCCTGAACCTTAAGAAGCATAATATTTGGGAAATATATAGTCACATCTTCCTACTGAAACAAAATGAAGGACGTGCAGGTGAAATCATAGATATGTCCTTTACTTGGATAAACATTTCAAATCCTGCAGGCAAATCTTTAGCTATTTCCCTTGGTAAGGTCTGGCGCC